GTTCCATTCCTGATCCCAGAGTGGCCGTTGTCTGCACCACTCAAGGCGATTACGTCGGTGTTCTCGAGTTAAAGGGAGGACCCAGTGTGGCCGCGATGAAAACAAACCAAAACTTCTCATTCGTCAGTAAACACTTCGCATGCCAATAGGTCTTCTGTGTTTTGCAAACCATTCATTTGCAATGGACCCGGTAGTGAAGAAACGGTCCCTTAAGGCCAATAATCTTAGGCGGCGATCTTCACGGTCTGTTGTTCTACGGCGGCGTCCAATGCCCGTTGCTCTTTGCGTACGGCCTTCTCGAAGCCATGCCTGACAACACCTAACCACAGTGTCTAAACTTATTTGCACTCTAACTGCAATTGCCCGAAAAGAAAGTCCAGCTTCCCGAAGTCCCACTATACGGCCCCTATCAAACTCACAAGTTGACGAAATCGTACAGGTCTCCGTACTATAGGCATTGTAACCGATCGTAAAGGATGTCAAGAACCAAAATCCGCCAACGTTGATTCTTTACTGCGGTTGAAATATTCATTTTTAGAGCGTTAGTGAATTAAAAAAAGCAGTATAAAAACCGGAATGTCCAACTGATAAGGTTGAAAATTTTTTCACTCGTTATTTACAGTAAGATAAATACATTCACCAACTTTTATTAAAATAAAACCATTTAAACTCGGTGTTCGAATTTATATGTCACTTAGTATATTAGTATTAGTAAAATAAACATATGTATGTCGCATACAACTGTGTATAATTTCATTTAAGTTGGCTTACATTGCTTACGACTAGGTAGCTCCCTGTTTATTCCAAAGTTATCAACTTAGCTCAACACATTAAAAAGGTTGGCGACCACTGCTTTATGGATTGGCGATTTCTGGAGATTTTTTCGTCAAAACTTGGCGATCTACATGACTGAAAACCTAGCAACCCTGGCTGAACGCGCTTTAACTCGCTCTAGCAATGACGGACCGAAGACAGTCTGCATATTTTAGGCGATAAAGAACTAAAGACTCGCTCAATATTATCTTTGTTGATTCGGTTAGTTTGCTTCTGCTATTGCATGCAATTGAATACTGGAAATCTCAAAAACTATAAGACTTTTAAAAAAACAAAGTTTTACCATCTTGTATGACTACCTACAGTATATTCAGATAAGAGATAGACCGGATGTAAACAAAAGGTTCGGGTGATTTTCACGCTAACGCCGCCGTCTCGACGTAAAACAGGAGCCCTCATTGGTCAATTCGCAATTAAATGCCTATGCCGAGCGGCAGAGCAGTCGTATCAAGGCAGAGTCACATTCAGATTCAGACCGGTTACGTATGTCGTGTGCATCATTGCAATTTGATATTTCTTTGGACGTTTTCGTTTGTTATCTTATTAAGTTGTTGAGTTTGTCGTTGTTATTGTTATACCTTGTTATTGATTGTTATTGTTATCAACTGCTTGCGCAAAATGCCCAGTAGTACAGATACTGCCGATGAAGCTGTAAACTCCTGTAGTCCACCTAGGAAACGCTCTAAAAAAAGACACCTGAGTGCAGAAATGAAAGAGGTCATTTTGAATATATATAAGATCGAGCGCGAGGAGAACGAGGCATCAACCATCAAAGAAATTGTTGTGAAGGTTTCTCACAAAGTTGGGGTGTGTCGCGCATCAGTGTTTAATGTGTTAAGACAATACAAAAAAAATCACACCTTTTCTGAGCCAATGACCAGTAAACATCGCAAAAGTATTGTTAAATCATTGGATGAAGCTGATAAGCATGCGATTAGAAGGAAAGTGCATGAATTCTTCTTTAGGAATGAAATACCTACTATAGATAAAGTACTGCAGGAGGTAAATGGAGATACAACGTTGCCAAATTTCAAACGATCAACTTTCCATGCGTTACTGAAGCGTTTAAATTTCAAATGGAAAAAACGGGGTCGTAATAGTATACTACTGGATAGAGAAGAAATTGTGCTATCGAGGAGGGATTATTTAACAAAAATTGGGAAATATAGAAATCAAAACAGGAAGATTTATTACCTTGATGAAACGTGGGTAAACGCAGGACACACTACAAGTAAAGTATGGGTTGATGATTCTGTAACTTCATCCAGGAGGGCCTTTCTAGATGGACTGTCCACCGGATTAAAAAATCCAGCAGGTAAATACGAGTAATAGACAACAATCGGATGTTTTTCAAACCTTGGGAACAAGGTTCTAAACATTAATTCCAGGGGGCAGATAAAACATATTACAAGTAACAAAACTTTTATAACTTTCGATAAAATGCGTGGATGTTTTATTGTCATTTTCATTTGTTAGAACTTTTTTAAGCCATGTTTTTATGTGTTTTCGATATTTCAATAATTTTTTAATATAATCTTAAAATATGTCGAATATTATAAACTTAAAAAAAGTTACTAAGTTTTATATTGTGTACCGTTCCTAATATTTCTAATGATTTTAATTCATACTTTAAGGTTTATAAAGTTATAATTTGTTAATATTAATATTTGCGCGTATTTTAGGTTCCTGATCATTCATTTTTTAAAGGTTTATAACTTTAAATTAAATTGTGAAGCGCTGAGTAATCATACGACGTTCAATATTCTTTCTTTCAATATGACTAAATAATCCCAATTATAGCAATCTGATACTCATGTCTCAATGTTTTTTCGCTGAATGTGATGGAAACATTTGAAAAAGGTTCGCTTATTGAAATAAATCTACACCAGTTAGTACTTCGATTTCCAGGTAAAGGGAAAAGGCTCATTATCTGCCATATTGGCAGTGAGGATGGATTTTTTGTTGACGGTCTGTGGTGCTTTGAGTCTAAGAAAACTGGAGATTACCACGAGGAAATGAATGACGAATCGTTTGAACAGTGGTTTTCAAAAATTTAGAGGAAAACGCAGTAATTGTGTTGGATAATGCGCCTTATCATTCTCGAAGAATGGAGAAGGTCCCAACAACGGCTTCAAGGAAAATTGATGTTCAAAATTGGCTCCGCTCGAAAAATATCAACTTTGAAGAAGCAATGCTGAAAGTACAATTATTAAGAATTGTCAATGATCACAAGGCGGAATATCAAAAATACGCCATTGACGAAATGGCAGCAAGTCAAAATAAAACTATGCTCCGTTTACCTCCATACCATTGCGAGCTCAATCCCATTGAGCTCATATGGGCTGAGCTTAAAAATTATATAGCTAAGCACAATACAACTTTTAAATTTTGTGACCTCAAAGGACTTTTCAAAGAAGCACTAGAATTAATAACAGCGCAATAATGGGAAAACTGTATTAAGCACGTGAAAGACAAAGTTGAAAAGAGAATGTGGGAACTGGACAATATTTTAGAGGGACAAGTCGAGCCATTCATTATTGACGTTGGTACTTCAGGCAGTAGCGATGATGAAAGCTCATTAAGCTCATCTTTCCAATAAAAGATGTCGTTCATCAAATTCGGTAAGTTATAAGTAATTATAAAGCTACTGTATTTTTTAATTAATTATAGACATTTTTGAACCCATTTTGGCAAAACCTTTTCAAGAATTTACTTTCTGACAATGTTCAACCATGCACATTTTTTTACGTTTTGAACGTTTTAATTTGGTTACATATTTACCTAGAAATCAAAAAATATACCAATCAATATTCTAAAAGCAATTTTAAGAGATATACGATTATTTTTAATTTAGGCTAATTTAAACGCCATTTTGAGATTATATTCGACTGTATTTCACCAAACATCAGGCGGCATCCGAAGCTGGAAATCGAAGCAAAAATTTTGAAACCCTTATGTATATTTACATCATTATATATTTCTTACCCCACCCCCACATGATCCTATATCCATCACCAATCGTATACACATCGAATTGTGCTAATTTACTACAAAGTTACGCAAAGCAGCATCTACTATCTAAAATATGTACTGCGTGACTCTTAATACGTCCCTGCCGAATGTTACAGCGTTCGATGATCACGTGGTCTTGTTTATGTCTGGTCTATCTCTTATCTGAATATACTGTAGAGTTCAATTTCGGGACACTCTGTATATAATTGTTTTGCCTTCAAGTAAACTACGGTTTAACTATTGCTTACACACATAGATATGATTGAACTAATTTTTCTCGCCCCTGACCATTCCGTACTTCATTGATTTTCAAAGTGCATAATTATAAGTAGAATCCTGATACGAAGATTGCTCGATGCCACGTGATTTTAGCGCGTATGAAATGGCCGCGAAAAGTCAACGGTCTCCGGTCGATGTGTCTATAAGGCTTCGAGAGTAGAACCAAACAAAGCAGCTACAAGAAACAGGATTTATCAGCGGCAGAAAAAATTACAACCGGATGCTGCTGCTGCTGTTGCCGCTGCTGCTCGACTCTTCTTGAGCATAATACCCGGTCATTTCTGCGCAACTGCCACCACAGGCTGTAGCTATTATCAAGGTGTACAATCCATAAAAGTAAAACCACTCTGGGGAAGTTTCATATTCTTCCTTGTCCTTGACTTTGTCACAATCTTTTGTGGGAAGAGTGAGTGGTGAAGCTTTGAATAGTCAGAACTTTCCAAATTGCTTCAGTTTGATTTTTCAAGTGAGATACTGTCCAAAGCAAAGTACACCAAAAAGTTGTAACAGTTGCCTTTTATTGCCGATGAATCATATATTTTTTTTGTCGTTGTTGTTGTCGCACAGGTTTAATTTGAAAAATGCAGCAAGAACTTGAGAAGGAAGAAACAAAAGCCGATAATCTAATCTAATAACCTCCGTAGCATATTATTTTTATTCATAGCATATTATTAAATCAATTTTATTGACAAAAATGACTAGACTGGCCCATTGGCCATTTCCCAAGATAGGGCTTGTTTTTAATGGTGTATTTAGCTATATTTTTCTCACGTAATTCATAACCAAAATAAATAACACGCAGACATTTACCTATTATCATGTTTATTTGAAATAACAAACATAACACATGAATACCACGGAATAACTATAATTTTTCATTTGTATCCGTTGTTTTTCTTCTGTAGTCGTTTGGCTGCCTGTATATAGTAGTCAGCATCTTCCATGTCACTGAACAGTTTGGGAACTGAAACCAAATATTTCTCAATCAATTAAACATAATCCATCCTGATCTATTTTATAATCCAAAAATTTCAATTATTAAATTTAACGTACAGCAATCACACTCCATTTTCCATGCATTCAGGTAATTAATTGAAGAATTTACTCATCCTGATATGGACAATTTCTTCTTGTGTTGCCTAGCAATTTCCCTGGTTCACTATGAGTAATAATTTTAGTATTAATCTCCACGTATTTTCATAAATAACTCGGTTGCTTCCATCCCATGCTAGATCTTCCACCGTCAAGAAATCAATTTAATCTCGAAATTTTCGCCTCGGGGATTTGTTTACATCCCAACAACAATCCGGTTTGTCACTCCGGAGCTAAAAATAAATAAGTAAATAAATAAATGTACATCTATAAATTGATATCACCTTCTGAATTAAAAACTATTTGTGTTGCATAAATATTATTACTCACCTATAGAACTATGTATTTCTTTTATAGTCAGATGAATTTATTATTGCTTTCTGAAATCTTCCAATGTCAAAGGCTGATGTCGCTGATGTCGAAGTACTATTCTGCGTACCGAACTACTTGCACATCTCCCTTGTTTTATTTCAGAATTTCCTTATGTTTATTAATCAATCAAATTTATATGCAGATATGTCAGTGTTTCCACATTTATTCACGATATTTCCTTGAATTTATATTAGGAACCTTCTCATTTTGGGATTACCCGACAACGTTTGGCTCTTAATGGTCACGCGTACAACTTTATTTGGAAATGTCAAGTCGAAAAAATTAAATTTTGGGATGGGACTTCCTTCCACTATCGGAGGGCCATCTTGTTCTGTTACGCTAGTGCCAGAAGACCTGAAATTTTCCTCTTTTTTTGCCTGGGGCATCTTCGTTGGATTGTGGAAGAAAATTTCATAGATAATTTCCTGGGTCATTCCTGTTGTGAGTGCGTAGCATCTTTTTTTTTTCGTCTACCCTTGGACCCGAGAAATTCTACAATTTGTAGTATCTTATTGTCTTCAGCCGCACTTTTTGCTAGACGGAACCACGTGAAAAACCCTACCCGACATCATCTAGGGCTTTTATTTTGGGGGAATCTTCGCTACTGGAGATCCATTGACACGTTTTCTACCGGGGACCTCTTGCCGAACAGAGACCCTTTTTCCACCATAGGGATTCTTACGTCATCGGTTTTGAAGCCTTCCTCGCCCATTTTAAATTAGTTAGTCAATAAGGCTTCGCATTAAGGGAGATCTCCTAGTTTGGCTGGCTTAGGAGCCGTTAGTAGGTGTAATAAAATGTATTGATGTTAATTTTAGCAATTATTTACCCACACAGAAAATCTATTGTTTGTATGTATTTTTGTTTTTGTTTCTTGGGGTTTTGGGCTAAAGAGTGTCTTTCAACACCAAGGCGTCTTCCAGTTTTGGCGGATAAAAGCTGGTGGCGCCCCTAAAAAAATACCCCCCCCTACTCTCCGGTGTACCTGAGCATAGGGCCTAATTTGCCAACGATAAACCACGGCTTTAGCCTCAGTAACCCCCTAGTTTTTTTTTTAATCATCCATTGCCTCAATTGAGAGAAATAACTTTAGCTTAAAATTAAAAAGTGATTTTAATTAAAAAAAAAAAGGAGCGTGGCAAAGTAAAAAAGCAAGAAACGGTTAGGGAAGTAAAAAAAACATGATGGTATTCAGAACAATTTGCACCAAACACCGATGAACACCTATTTTCAGATACACATTCGTTGTCTAGGAAATTTGACGATTAAGTATTCGAAGGACACATAAAGAAATGCAATTAACCACACAAAAAGTATAAAGTATACTATTTTACCTTGCCGATATGAATCGCAAACCGTTCCGGAAGATAAATGTTATTTTTATGCAAAAAAGGATGGGTTACGTTTTGTCTTCTAAACAAATTCAAACATTTCGTATTCGTGAGGAATTCGCAACAAAAGATGATAGACACATTCGCTCTATTTTAAAATGTGTTCAGTAATGTATATTTGTCGAATATCCTAGCGCATTTATTCAATTGCTCACAAATACGGAATATTTGAATTTGTTTAGAAGAAAAAAATGTTGTTTCTCGCATAAAAGACATATACAGGGTGACTTTGAAGTTGAGTCATTAATTTTCAGATAATGATTGTAGAAGGAAGATAAACCAAAATATGTGTGTAAAAATAAAAAAAAATAAAAAAAAATGTTTACCTTGTTTTATGAAGTATCCTCCCGACAAGTATTTCAGTGCGGACCTGTATTTGATCGTGAGGTCTTGGAGCACCGGCATGCCGTCACCTGTGAGGTCTTAAGTCACCTGATTCACGAGCCCGTTGTACTACATTAACAAAGGCACGAGGGGTTGGTTGCACTCGATTGGGAAACCGATCCGCATAAACATGTGCCATTTTTTATTTCGTTTGAGCCACGCAACAGACACCACTATTCACTCACGCGTTACCGACTGACACTGACTGTATATAACTGAATAAAATAATTGTAAAAACATCGTTCCAAATTCTTTCGCTTTTTTGTTTCCGATGCGATGAACTGATAAGGCGGATTATATCCGTTGTTTTCAAACACGAGCACATAATATTATTATTGAGACAGGGCGGTACTCAAACTTCCAAAGGGCTATAACTTTGTTACTTTAATTTTACCACAAAAATGTTAAAGGAAAAAAACATTTCTTTTGATCAGATCTACTCACTGTTAAAATAAATGACTCAACTTCGAAGTCACCCTGTATATATATTTCGGAATGGTCTGTGAGTCATATCGACAAGCTAAACACGTGTATTTCTCTGTCAAACGTTCTTTGAACGAACCCTGTATATAAACTAGTTCGTGTCAACACTTTCGATTGAATCCCAAAAAACACGTTTTCTCATTGTTTGTTGTCAAATAAAAAGTTTTCCACAAAAATTAATGTACTGATTTTATGCGTCCACGTTTCAAATACCCCCTTGAACAACTTGCAGCAATAAAACCAGACAATTATTCCGCGGAAATGCCATGAGTTACCTCTGTTTATTTATGATTATTATTACCATCAATTAAATTCTCACCCTGTTTCATTATACGCCTCTATTTCCTCATAATTATCATCCAACCACAGATTCACGGACAACTAGGAAATACATTAGAGAATTTAGGACTGAAAAGACTATTTACATGCACAAAATTGAATATATCTTATAGAGAAGAAAAAGTCACAATAACAATATTTATTTCAAAAGAAGTTATGAAAAAATAAAAGTGATTTTGAGATAAATGGGATATGCGAAATAAATGCCTAGGTGTCTGATAATTTCAAGCCCTACCTAGGAAATTCTGCTTTTTTTCTTAAATAACTAATGATTGACAATGTCAATGCATGATGTATGACACATTTTTAAAAACAGAATTGAAAACTCTATTCACCTGTGCAAATACCCAGTATGGCGTTCATAAGAAACATTGAAGTTGATGCTGGAGGGCAATATTGAAATTCTAATTATCCCATCTTGTAGAGGAACAAAAATTGGCTATGTTACTGTGCAATTTATTTTGACATTCCACTACAACTTAAGTCAGGAAAACATCAAAACGATTTTGTGAAAGTTCAGCTTTTTCCGTCTCTCTTGTTGTCTCTTTGTATTTCTAAACTCTCTCAGCGGCATTTTGTTGATTACCTAAATACGCGACTCTGCCCGTATCAAGCGTCTTCGTATTTCTTACAGCGTCGAATTTGAATCACCCTGTAAATGTAGAAGGTTTTAAAGGTACATCGTTAACCAGATGACTCAAAAACCTACTACTTATTCGTCATACGTTTGTCGAATCTGGCAGTACTGGTTGCCTAATGTCAATGAAAAAGAGAAAGAGAAAGAGGAGAAAAATAGAGAAGAGCAAAGAAAAACAGAAGTGTTTAGCTTAAGAGGAGCCACCTAGGCTTCTTGACTTGGTACACGGATTAATTTTCAGGTGGAATAAACAAATTTTGATTCGGTTTTGTTAGAGTGTAATTTTAAGTTTGCTAAAAGTTCGCGCTAATTTTTTATTACAGTGCGAGCCGTGGCCTTGAATGTTCACGAACTTGCTCCACTGAGTCGCGCAACAGAGGGTTGCTGTGCGATTCCGCCTGACTATAACATCGCTGCGCCTTGACATAATCCCTCAAGTAAGGAATCTCAAGGTCTCTGTGTAGTGTCTCGTTTGAGACATACCATGGAGCGTTGCAAATTCTTCGCAAAGTTCTACTTTGCAGAATTTGAAGACTTTGCATATGTGTCTTGGCAAGAAAACACCAAGCCGCACATGCATAAGTAATGGCTGGTCTAATAATCATGTTATATAAGCGAACTTTGTTTATCTAACTCAATTTGAAGGATCTACATAACAAAGGATATAGTTGCCGAAACGCAATTTGGAATTTTGTTTTCAAGGCTGCTGTATGTTTGTGTCAAGTCATGCCTTTATCAAGTACCTCGGTGTCACCGAGGTACTTGGCAGAATTTGTCCATGGTACACGATTGCCGTCTACAGAGACCTCTGCTGGGGGGTCGCGACGTTTTTTCGTACAATAAATAGCCTGCTTTTTCGAATGATTAATTTCAATCAGCCACCGTTCCGCCCACTCTAGTACTTCTTCCACCGCACTCTGCAACCCATCGTGAACCAGGTCACCAGTACACGACCGGTCGACAAGTGCAGTGTCGTCAGTATAGAGGTAGACTTCACACTTGCTGGGATAAAAAGCGAATAAAGGACTGGTCCTAGGACCGAACCCTGAGGAGCACCGGCCCGTACTGACCGTGTTGTTAACAAAACAATGTTAATCTTGCTCCGAAGCTTCCTTCCTTCAAGGAAGGATTTCAGTAATTTTAGAAGCCAAAAAGGAAAACCCTTTTGGATTAGTTTAAGACAAGGCTCTTGAGACATCCAAAAGCAAGATGCAAGGTTTCGTGACCTGATAAACTTGGCAACGCTGATACAGTCCTGCCCGTTTT